TTGCCATTATCAGCTGTGGGAAACTTAAATGACCATCAGTCATGTTTACGGCTGATTTGCGAACAAGAAATAATTGTTTCGTATTTCTAGCCCTTATTAGCAAATCATTCCAAATCATTAAGTATTTTAATAAAATCCAGTTCTATTATAGGAACAGAACAGGCATTATTCAAAAAAGTACATAAATTTGTCCTTGTCACACCTTATTAGCATATGCATAAAATTAGTGCTCCCCTGCAGCATTCTCCGAATTTCACACACTTCCTATACATGTCAATATGCTCGACTAACTTGGTTGCCTTCTGCAACTGCACTTTTCAATGCATAATTTTGGGAAATTTGTCACTCCTTGTAGTGATATCTTAACTCATTCCTGTAGCGTTAAACACCAAAGGAAACTTTAAGCTGAATTTTCTATGTAATTAAGATAGTGCAGAGTTAAACATTGTTCACACCTCTTCGCTGGTTTCCAACTATATTAAAACCTGTGTGTTGTATAAAATTTACACCAAGACACATCCATTTCTTGTTCTCCCGTCATATACATTCCTTTCAAAAAAGGAAACAAAGCTGCAAATTTAAACCAAACTTGCAGTGTACAAGATTTTTTTGATTCAGGATTAAGTATGGGAAAAGTGTGAAAATTGAAATATTTTAAGTTTAAACCTCCCCACACCCCCTCCCCCCAAAAACTATTTCCCAGCTAGGCAGGTTTCCTCTCTTCCTTCCAATGTGGCTCATAACATTTAATAGCCCTCATAATTAGTTTCCAGAGAAATTCTATTGGAAACCCTGACCAGATATGGGGCTGCACACTCCAAACCAGCTTTTGGGCCTCAAGTCTGAGCCCAAAGAGATCACATATCAGATCAGTACAAATTACCTACCGAAAATGAACAAGTCAGCTCTCTGATGCAAACAGCTCCTCGTTCTAGCTTCCATCATGGGAAAAAAAGGTGCGAAGAGAACTACACACCTGTTCTCATACATTTTGCAGGCAGGGGCAGCTGATTTGATTCCCACCCCTGCCCGTCAGGTTAAAAAATACACTCAAGTCCATATTTAATATGATTAATCTAGGCTCAGAGAAAAGATGTCACAAATTTAAATCCTGGACATCTAAATAAACTTTGGCATATTACACTTCTAATTAGTTCCATCTAATCTTACATATAAGAAGCAGAGACAAAGTTGGCCACAACGCAACAAGAATTGAGGAGCAGCAGTAATCTCAGGGGCACCAAAAGAAGCCTTTTGTTTTCATGTGCTGCCAGCTTATTATTCAAGGGGCCTCAAAAGTCACACACAAGTCTAAATGTATGTTCCTATCAACTCATGTACATCTCGAGTTGCTGATGTTAATGAACAGCAAGCAGACTTAGTTGCTTGGACATCTAGAATGGAATTTTGATTACTGATTTTTAAAAAAACTAGTTGTTATTTACTGTACTTTTAATTGTAATTACCTATAGTCCATGAGCCACAACAGGTGTTATAGTGAGGACAGAGTATGCGTATGAGTAAAAAGTGGTTATTATTTGAAGGGGCACCAGGCGATATCAAGCTAGGGGTCAAGACAAGGAAGTAAGTCTCCATGAACTATCACATCTTGTACGAGCATTGAACCTACAACTTTGGTGTTATTTCGCATCACACTCTAGCCATATGAACAGGAGGAAAATCAGAACTTCCGCACACTGCTTACAAAACAAATTCTTTACATGTTGGCAACAGAGTTGTTTGTGGAGACGAATCTCAAACTGGATGAGAGAATGAGAAGAATCAGTTTGATTACAACTGATATAGTTATACTTTCATGATCCTTTTTTATCATGGAGAAACTCAACAGCGTTGAAATTATCTTTTGTCTTGACTTGTAGGACCCAAATACAGCAAGCAATCACCACGATGCTGCTATTCACTAACTATTCTTATCTTATACTGGTAGATTAACCCTCATTTAAAAACAAGCTTGAGTGTCTGTAGTTTGATGAAGTGAGGAGGAAATAGTAATGATTTTTTGGTTGATAAAACATAATTTTTCATACGATTCAGAAGTTGCATGGGTATTTAATATATTCTGCTCATAGACTGCACGCAATTTACAATGCCATCTTGTGGCTATCTGGTACAGCAAACATTCAAATTATTAAATAAAATTAGAAAATTCAATGAAAGAAATTCAACAACAACTTCCATTTAGACAATTTCAAAAAATGAGAATGATAGATGTTCCATTTTAGAGTTCCTTTCCAAAAATATGTAATGTTATCCCATACATGGGAGACAGTGGCAGAAATATGATTTTGGATATTATGAAAAAGGGAAATCTAATTCAAGAGCAAGAACAGAGTCAAGGAAATTAAACAGTTGTCATAGAACTGAAGGCATTCGACAAGATCCCCCCCCCCACCCCCACAAAAGGTTAATACACAAGGCAAGATCACACTGGATTAGAGATAATTTATTTGCTTGGATAGAGGATTTGCTTTCTGTTGGTTAGCCAAGAGTAGGGATAAGTGGGCCTTTTTCTGGTTGGCAAAATGTAACCAATGGGGCGCCCGAGGCTTCAGTCCTCAGGGCCCAACTATTTATGTTAATGACTTGGACGTGGGATAGAAAGTACTATTGCCAATTTTGCAGATGACATTAAAATAGGTGGGAAAGTAAGCTGCAATGAAGAAATAAGAAATTGTTACAAATTTACGAATTGTTATGGAGAGGGGAGATGAATGGGCCAAAATTTGGCAGATGAAGTTTAATGTGGAGAAGTGCGAGGTTATCCATTTTGGTTGGAGGAATCGAAAAGCAACTTATCTAAATGGACAGACACTTCACAATGTTTTGGTGCCAAGGGACCTACGTGTCCTCATGCACAAATCACAGTGTGCACGTACTAAGGAAGTCAAATGGCATTTATTGCAAAAGGAAGAGAGTATAAAAATAGAGATGAAGTGTTGCTGCAACTGTAAAAGACATTAGACACCATGCCTCGAGTACTGCGTACAATTTTGTTCCCCATACTTATCGAAGGATGTAGTTGCATTGGAGGCAGTTTATTGAAGGTTCACTAAATTGATTCCACGATGAGCGATTTGTTGAGACATTGAGCCGTTTTGACCTACATTCTCCAGAGTTTAGAAGAATGAGAGGAGATCTAACTGAAATATATAAGATGCTAAAGGGGACTGACAAAGTTGGCACAGTAAGGATATTTCCTCATGGACCAATCGAGAATAACAGGACACACTTTTAAAGGTAAGGGGGTAACAGATTGTGAATCTGGAATTCACTACCTTACAGCGTGGCAGATGCTGGGACATTGAGTAAATTTAAGGAGGAGATAGATTTTTAAATTAGTAATGGGTTAAAGGTTTATAGGGAGTAGGCAGGAAAGTGGAGTTGAGGCCTGAAATGAGATCAGCTAAGAACATATCAAATGGTACAGCAGCCGCTCCAGCCTGCTTTGTCTACTTCTAGTCCTACTTCTTAATGGCTCAAACAATCAAATTAGGTGCAGGAATAGGCCATTCAGCCCCTTGACCCACTCAGATTTCAATAAGTAGCCTTATTTTATTTATTAGTACACATTAAAAGCTACAACATATTTTGTGCTGCCAAACAAAGATTCCCAAAAGGTTTCAGCATTTTTGAATGCTGTAAGGTTCTTTGTTGTCAGTCTGCAGACAGCTGTAGATTTTTAATTTGCAGGGAATTCATGGTGTTCCCTAGGTTAAAAAGAATATATAGACAGCAGGCAAGAATTGGTACAGGGAGCTGCAGCTCACCACTGCCTTTTCAAGGATTAATTAAAGATGGGCAACCAAAGCTGGTCCTACCAACAACATCCATGCTCTATGAAAGAATACGTGGTGCATGGTGTGCAGAGGGATGTACTCCAAGAAATTTTGTCACATTGGTACTGAAGTGAAAGAGAGCTTTGTATCAAGTAAAACAAAACATAAAATCATTTAAACTTGAAGGTTTAAACTCCAACAAGGGACTGGACAATTATTAGCCAGTTAACTATGTAGAATTGTACAATCATGACAATATTTACTGGTCAGTTCAAGTCCAAAATTAAATGAAATGCAATGTATTGATATTTCTGTTTTCCAATGCAACCTGAAGCAAAGCATGACTGCATGTTGTTTTGATGACTGGAATCTGAGAAAATCCTAATACCGCCAAACCTTGAATCTCAAATGGCTCTTTGAGATCATCAAGGGATTAGAAATTATAAACCCATAAATAGGGGCAGGCGATGGCCTAGTGGTATTATTGCTGGACTGTTCATCCAGAGATCCAGGTAATGTTCTGGGGATTTGGGTTCGAATTCCACTACGGCAGATGGTGGCATTTGAATTCAATTAATGGTTAAGGAATGTAAGGGTTTAATGACGACCATGAATCCATTGCTGATTGTTGAGAAAAATCCACCTGGTTCACTAATGTTCCTCGAGGGGGAAGCTGCCATCCTTACCTGGTTTGGCCTACATGTGACTCCAGACCTAGTGCAATGTGGTTGATTCTTAACTGCCCTCTGGGCAATTAGGGATGGGCAATAAATGCTGGCCTGACCAGCAATGCCCTCATCCCATCAACAAATTTTTATAAAAATGGGGTGTGCAGCAAGAAAGAACACAAGCCACAAAACAATTAATTGACTATTTCAACAAAATCATAAACATGAAATTTAAAACTTCAAATTTTATTATGAACAAACTTCAGAAAACTATCAATTTGACTTTCCATAACTCCACAAAAACCAATTTGAAATAATATTAAGCACTCAAGACATTTTTGATCTTTCAGCTATTTTCTTTTGAAACCACCTTTACATTCATTAAGGCTTCGAATTTTACTGAATTTACTGATACATTTAACTAGTCTATATTGAGAACAAAGACCATTATGGCTGTCAAAATAGTTGGTTCATTTTGGGAATCTTAAAGTTTCTAGCAACAAGAGAAGCTATAATTAAAGTTACTCAACCTTACCCCAAAAAATCAAAGTCAATTGTCGAATACCTGGCCTGGATCAATGCCCAAAGACCCCAGAAGAAATGGGAAGCCTGAAGAAACAGGAGAGAGAATTAAAAATTGGTCTAGTTAGCTTAGTAATAAGCTGCATCAAGCACCTCAAGAAGGTGATATGAGCAGTCTTCTTGAACCACTGTAGTCCATCTGGTGTAGATTCAAGATTCTTGCATCACCAACTGTGAAGAAATAACAATATAGTTCCATAGTCTGGAAGGGGAGCTGGTAGGTGCCAGTGCTCCCATGCCTCTGCCGCCCATTCCCTTTTAGCTGGTAGAGGTCATACGTTTTCAAATTGCTGTCAAAAGAACCTTGATCAGTTATTGTAGTGCATCTTGTACATGGCAGGCACTGCTACCAGTATGCCCATTGGTGGAAGGAGTGAATGTTTAAGGTGTTGGAAAGATTACTAATCAACTACATTGTTTTGTCCTGGATGGCAAGCAGAAGGGTCATTCAGTGCTGTTGGAGCTGCACATATCCAGGCCAGTATTCCAAGCACAACCCTGATCTGTGCCATTTAGATGGCAGACAGTGCTTGGGGAATTACTAAGTTACTCACCTCAGAATTTCCAGCCTCTGATCTTTCTGATGTTCTTGTAGCCTGAGGTTTTTAGATGCTGGTCCAGTTAAGTTTTTGCTCAATGATAAACCACCACATCAGTTGTAAGATATTGTCAGTGTTAGCAATGTTGCTGACGTCAAGGGGAGATGTTTAGATTCCCTTGAATGCAATGATCCGAGGCTGAATAGCTTAAGAGTGCTTCAAGCTAACTAAAATAGTAGCGACTTGGGAGAGATTAAAAAAAAACGTTCGTGCCATCCCTGAAAATGAATCTCAACCAGTGTTTTCATAAGGTAGAGAAATCAAAGAAAAAATGTTTTTTTTAAATGTAGAAGCATTCTCAATATTAAAAAAAAAAGCAACTGACATAGAATCATAGAATTCCTAAAGTGCAGAAATAGGCCATTCGGCCCATCGAGCCTACATTGACCCTCTGAAGAGCATCTACCCAGACCAAAGCCCCCACATGATCCCCATAACCTTTCATTTGCCATGGTTAATCAACAGTCTGCACCTCCCGGGACACTATTTGGCAAGTTCCCACAGCCAATCCTAATCTGCACAACTTTGGACTGTTGGGAGGAATCCAGAGCACCCAGTGGAAGCCCAAGCAAACACGGGCAGAATGTGCAAACTCCACACAGTCACCCAAGGCTGAAATCGTACCTGGGTCCCTGGTGCTGTGAGGCAGCAGCACGAACCACTGTACCGCCTTAGCAGGAAATCTGAGGATTTTTCACCATTTAAAACAGGGCTTCCCAAACTGGGAGTTGGGACTCTAAGTGGGGTCATTAGTTGATATTTTAAGGCCGGAACAGAGGTCTGACAGCTCTAACAGCTCCACCACAGGCTCTAACCTTGCCCCACCACAGTTTTCACTAAGGGATCACAACAGTTTTCAAGCTTTGAATTCAGGTCACATTGGGAAAACATTTGGGAAACACCGAAGAACTCATTTGATCCTATTACAATAATGCAGTTCACTCACTCTTTCCCCAGTACTGGCAGTAATGTCCCACGAATCAACATCCTGCCTTTGACACCACTATCCAGACGCGTAACTAATTTTCCCTCTGCTCGTTTTCATGTGGACCGGTAACAATTCTGGAATTACCTGTGGTTTTGCATTTATATTACAAACTAGCAACTCAAAATTGATCCATCTGAACCTAATTCCTATACTACCCATGTTGGCTACTCTTAGGTAAACCATGCCAACTGGATTGTTACCCCTCACAGGCAAAGTACTTCAGCTGAAAAATGTCATTCTTCAACCCAATAGCAGGGCGGCAACAAAACACAAGAACTTCTGGTTGTGGTTGCACTCATCAGTACTGAATTATAGTTTATGTATTTAATCAACTTAGCTTGTTTTTTTCAGAAAACTTATTTGATCAAATTATTATATGTAAATTAGAAATGTTTACTTCTAATTTACACAGTCACCCCTTCTTCTCCAGTGATTTTGCGCTTGTTTTCTCTCCATAAATGGCGCCAGAAGTGGAGTTCTTCCAGCAATGTTTATTTTTGTTTCTCATTTCCAGCATCTGCAGTTCTTTGGTTCTTTGGTTCTTTTTTTGAGATTTTGTTCTTGTCCTCAGAACCATACATACTGTCCCCTGTTGATTTATATTCTTGGGGTCTCTCTCAACTACTTTATATCTGTGCACTACAATGACCTAATTAAATGCTATGTAAAAGCATGTTGTTGTTGAGATACTCCTAGTTCAAACTACGTCACTATACCCAAATTAAACTTGTCAAATCTCTGGCAAATACATAATAATTATATGATTACAATTGGTTTTTCCTCCCATCCTCAGAATTACATCTGAAGCTCTCTACAAATCTATCCCTGCTACTATCCTGTTCTGCATCTGCCAAAATCTTCTCAGCAACATTGCTCATAAGCTGCAGGATCAAGATCACATAGGATCCAGGGGGAGCTAGCCTACTGGATACAAAATTGGCATGAACCTAAAAGACTCGGGATGGTGGTAAAGGGTTGCTTTTCAAACTGGATGTCTGTGACCAGCAGTGTGCTACGAGAATGGGTGCTGGGTCCACTGCTTTTTTTTTAAACTGATATAAATGATTTAAATGTAAATACAGGAGACATGGTTAGTAAGTTTGCAGATAACATGAAAACAGGTGGTATAGTGCACAGTGAAGAAGATTATCTCAGGGTACAACAGGACCTTGATCAGATGGGCCAATGGGTCGAGGAGTGGCAGATGGAGTTCAATTTAGAGAAACGTGAGGTGCATTTTGCTCAGGCCAAACCAGGGGAAGGCTTATGCAGTAAATGGTAGGACTTGCAGAGTGCTGCCGGACAAAGAGACCTAGCGGTGCAGGTGCATAGTTCCTTGAAAGTGGAACCGTAGAATTCTAGTCCTCCTCCTACAGGAAGGATGTTTTTAAACTTAAGAGGGTATAGAAAAAATTAAAGGATTTTGCTAGGACTGGAGGCTGAGAGTTCCAGGGAGCTCGGAATAGGCTGAGCCATTTTTCCCTGTGGTGTCAGAGGCGGAGGGGTGATTTAAAAAAGGTTTGTAAAATCATGATAGGCACGGGTAGGGTGAATAACCGAGGTCTTTTTCCTGGGTGGGGGGGGAATCCAAAACTAGACGGCATAAGTTTAAGGTAAGGGGGAAAAGATTTAAAAAGGACGAGGGGCATTTTTTTTTTATGCAGAGGGTCGTGTGTGTATGGAAATGAGCTGCCAGAGGAAGTGGTGGAGGCCAGTACAACTATAACATTTAAAAGACATCTGGATGGGCACATGAATAAGAAGGATTTAGAGGGACGTGGACCAAATGCTGGCAAATGGGATGTGGTCAGATTGGGATATCTGTTTGGCACAGATGAGTTGGACTGGAGGGTCTGTTTCCGTGCTGTATGACTCTATAACACACTTCTCTGCAATATCCTTTGCTGACCTAACAGCAAAACACTGCAGATGCTGGAAATCTCAAACAAACACAGAATGCAGGAGAATCAGTGTGTCTGACAGCATCTGAGTGAGAGAAACAGAGTTAATTTTCACACCTGGCATGGCTGAAATGTTACACCAGGCTTGAAACACAGATTTTCCTTCTCTCTCCAGACGTTGCCAGATCTGCCGAGTTTCTTCAGCATTCTGTTTTTGTTCCCTTTCTGACCATTTCTTGGATCTCAGTCTTGCAATATTTGAAAATTTAAAATTGTCATTTCTTTGTTTCACACCCTCCACCCTTTCATCCTTCCATCTGTTTCCTCTTACAGTCCTCCTATGTGTTCTTTGACCCTGGACTTCTATGTACTGCCTTACCATTGCTACATGTACTTCAGCAACACAGGTTCCATGCTCTGTAATCCTCTCCTTAACTACTTGTACTGCTCCATCTACCTTCTCTCCTTATGATATATCTGTTCAACTATACTTTTTGTCACCTCGAAATAAGCTATTTTGAATATTTACAGCATGTGATCTCAGATTTTAGACACTACTAATCTGATCAGAAATTCAATTAAATTTGAAGTGAACATTCCTGTTATATATCTATTTTATAGAAAACCAACAACTGGATATACAATAGATATATGAAATCTGGTAGCCAGTATTGGTTTATACAGGGGAGGCAATGGCCTAGTGGTATTATCGCTGGACTGTTAATCCAGAGGCCAAGATAATGTTCTGGGTTTGAATCCTGCCACAGCAGATGGTGGAATTTGAATACAAACAAAAAATATCTGGAATTAAGAATCTAGTGATAACCACGAATCCATTGCTGATTGTCAGAAAAACCCATCTGGTTCACTAATGTCCCTTGGGAAAGAGAACTGACATCCTTACCTGGTCTGGCCTAGATGTGATTCCAGACCCACAGCAGTGTGGTTGACTCTCAACTGCCGTCTAGGCAATTAGAGATCGGCGATAAATGCTGCTTAAAAGCAATGCCCTCATCCCATGAATGAATAAAGAAAAAAAAACAAACTCAAGGCTTAACTGCATGCTTCGCATAACAGTAAAGTATTCAGGCAATATGTTAAAGAATCAAACTTGATCACACTATCTACCGAAAACAGCACTTGAATGCTCCTGTCTATACTTTAAGAATAAACTTACCAGTGCAAATACATTAACTTGTAAATAAAGTACTTCCACTTCCTTATCAGTTACTTCTGCAGTATTTCCTTTATACTCTTTCAAAGCTTCAAGATAGCATTTCAACCACTGCAATTGGACATTTTTGTCTGGGTACAAACTGTAATCAACTTCATTTACACCTAAGGTAAAAAAAAATAGGATGAAACAGTAAAATGTGTTATACAACTTTGAGTCCATGGATTGTATTTAAAAAACAAATTTCTGAATGTCTTACCTGCAAATTCATTGAAATGGTTCCCAATATCAAAAGCCTGGTAGTTATAGCCTGCATATTCATAATCAATGAATCTTACGCAACCTATTCAGAGTACAAAAATAATCAAATCAATGCGCAGACTAAAATTGGATTAACAGGCAAATTCCTAGATGTCTCTTAGAAAATAATCCATTCTCTTTTCTTTAGTCTCAGTGAGAACTGTGCAACACAATGTATGATTATATTGAGCACACAATTGAGAAACAGGCCACTTCACTTGGTCTATGTTAGTGACAATGTTTCACATGAACTCTCCTTCATCTAACCATTTCTATTATTTCTCCCTCATGTTCTCTTAGGTTCTCCTTCAACAAATCCACGGTCTTCACCTCAACTACTTCTGTCAAGTCTCGCATTCTAATCTCTCCGGATGTGAGTTTCCGCTGGATTTCCTACTGGATTTATTAGTGACCATCTCACCATAAAGGTCCTAGTTTTGATCATCCTATGAATGCTAATTAAAAAATTAAATCCATGTAATTTCACAAAGACTTGACTTTAAACTTAAATCTATTTTAACATCCACATTGAGTGGTTCGGAATCAGTTTTCTGGTTAATAATGATTCTATGACCGTCTTAAAGGAATTTTTATCATTAGTCAACTGTAATAATATGATCATGATAAATTATGTTCTCTGGACAAGACTGGAAACCAGTGGCAGTAAGAGCAGAAGAGACAGGGACAGAGCCTCAACATTGCTCTAGGTTTAAATCCATAGTGATGACAACTGGTTCCTTCCAGCCTTAGGCTCGTGAAATGTCCATTCACCGCCTCTACAGTTTTTAAATCACCTCTCATAATACCTTAGCTCCCAAGCACGAAGTTCCCCTGAATGTAAAATTCTTTCCTGCTAGCACCAACCGCTTCTTCCCAAAGCTTCCACGACAACTGTACTTCTGCGAAGCTACTGTGCCACTGTCTGACTGAAGGAAGTCAGTCAGTCTCTGAACAGTGAGAAACTTGACGGTACAAAATTAACTACACATATGTAGCTCTATTTAACCAATAATGCTGTAATGCATTGACATAATATTTATAATCTTTTGAAGTAGAGTTCAGAAGAGATTTGTGCCCTGCACCATCCGAAATCCATGTAGAATAAAAGTAAAGTGCTTGCCAATCTAAGGAAAGTGATGATAGGGAAACCGAATCAGGTAGACCATCGATGACGCACCAGCTGAATACTGCTACTGTCATAGCTCCGGGAATTTATCAACCAACTTACCGCTCGACCAATAAATAGTTCATATGGTAGGGGTGAAAGACAACAGGGAAGAAAATGAAGTCAGGTGTGCTTAGAAATAGTTCAACATACTAAGTGATCAGTAAAATTACTAAACTAAGTGGAGTGAAAATATATTTTTGTTAAGTTGTGTTCACCAAGATGCCATTCATGAATTATTGGCAGACGTTTTTCCCCAAATTTATACTAGTATTATACATTTCTGAAATCAGGAATGATACACAGTGATTCAGAGTGGAGTTCACTTAAACTCCAAATTACCTACCAATTCAGAGGATATTTAGCCTTTAGTGGAAGTGTTAACTCTCACGGCCAGGATTTCATTCTGTATACCCAGATCCAATATGAATGCAGCTACAATTTTTATACATACATCTTACAGTTAGCAAAAGAATAAAGTTATGAAGTTTTCATTCTTAAATACAGGATGAATTTAACGTATTTAGAAAGAAACAAAACACTAATCTACTGCTCCCACAGACTACATCAGTAGATTCTTGCTGTGAGAAACACATCTAATCCTCAACATGTTAAACAAATAGGAACTACATGCAGATTCCATTTTCAATAATAAAATGTTTTAATATGCTTAAAGTAATACTACAGTTTAGTAAAACATTCTGGTATGTTATTCAAAAGAGGAAGCCATAGCAATGTCTTGTATCAAAGACGCAGCATACTAAGCGCTATGATAAGTTGACTATTTCAGCATTTAAAAATTCACAAACATCCCTGATGTGTTTAATGTTATTACTATACCTGTGTTTCACAGGTTCTTGTTTTGTGATGCCTCCAACTTTACAGTTGCTTGTTAATTTGCCAAAAGACCTACAAATTAAATAGATATTACCCAATGCATAAAAGTTTTGGCTTTAGCTTGGTTTCATTAAAGTCGAAAGATTGAAAAACAAAAATACCCAAACTACTTAAAAAGGTGTGTGCAACAAATCTGTCGCAAGCATTCATAGCCATGCACCTTTCTCAGAGCTATTTTTATTGCCCAACTGCATTTTACTGATTCTTATTGTAAATTCGCTGAAACGAATTACACAAACAGTCCGAAAAGCTCAATTGTTATACTGAGTTTCCAAAAAAAAAATGCTAAAACAAACATGATCCAAGTTACATTTCTTCCTCTTATGGTCCTCCCTTTCGCAAGTACAATGAGATTAACTAATTATCCATAAGCATAGCTATTAAATGTTAAACTTACGAGCATCTGGAGATAGGTTGTATCCTAAATTCAAATCTGATGTTTGAAAAACCGACAGGTTTCAACAAATTTCAAATTTACGTATTTTAGTGATTGAGATTTTAAATTAACCAATTACACCCACCTTTTGAAAAAAATCTCCTTTACTCAAAAAAAAGTTACACTGTTTATAATGCCTAAGCTGGCATGAGGAGATACAAGCAACGCTATTTATTGGATATAATTTACTTAAAAAGAGAAAAGTTTAAACACATTACCTGGTCCTGGCATTTAATTCGGTGAGCTGACCTACAGAAATAAAACCTTATTTGCAAACTTTATAGATTTATAACTGTGACAACTGAATGTTAAAACCGATAAATAGTTTACATACTGAATGCAAATTTCTAATTTTAAAAAAAATCACACTACTCAAATTGATAAACCATAGGAAAAAAAAAGACATTTCAGAAAAATATTCTGACCTTCACTCATAAGACATTTTCAGATAAGCATCACAGCAATGTCTGAAATATGGACATAAAACTTGGGACTGTACAACACTGATTGACTATTAACAGATTGCATGCCCTCCCATGGTGGGGGTATATGTGTGAACGACTATGCAATTAATCCCTGATCAATGCATTATGGCAGTATGATGCAAACCAACAACTTTTGGCAGCACACAATGTGCAGCAAATAAGACAAGTCAAGCAAATTCAAAGTCAAAATCTAATTGGAACAGCTAAATGTTTTCCTTGTGAATAATAATATCATAATAATAAATAGCTAATTAGATGAGGAGTCAATAAAAGGAATTTATTCCTGAACACAAAATGTATTAAAATGTAACAATGGAACAATTAAAGTCAGGCAGTTTACCATCAACTCAACATTACATAAAACAAAAACAAATTGCTGAAGAAACTCGGGTCTAGTGGCATCTGTGGAGAGAAAACAATTAATGTTTTGAATCCAGTTCTTCAGATGCTGCGAGACCTGCTGAATTTCTCCCGCAGTCAGTATTTTTTTTTAAATATACAGATTTACAGCATCTGCAGCCATCATTTCAACATTACATTCATGTTTTGGGGTTTTTAATCACAGTAATGTGACAGTACAGGAACTACACATAAAAAATGTACACAGTCGGTTCTGGTATAACGTGTGCGCTGACAACGCGAATTGGCTATAATGCGAATGTTGAATAGAGGAATGCTATTTCCAAAACATGAATTTGTGTTGGCTGTAACGTGTTTCCATTGGTGCGCGGAGGACTACACTGCGCGGGCTTTGTCCTGAGTGCACGCAATGTTAGCGCTGAAAGAGTCTGAATAATGCACCAAGCCATTCTCCCACCATTGATATTTTCAGAAAGTTCACCAAAGTGCTATTTCTACCCCCAAACCCAACCTCTCTCCTTCAACCCATGGGCCAGGATGAAACAGCAGCTTTTAAAGCCTATTCTTCAAGTGCACATTTAACAGGCTGATTACAACCCGCTGAGGGGGAATAAGGGCAGTGTTTTTCAATTTTGGAAGAGCTTTAACATCAAGAATGCAACTGACATTATCGTGTTATAGCAGAACCAACTGTACCTGTTGCAGCTCAAATATTTACTGAACTAGCCTGTTTTGGAATAGTTTTAGGCTCCCTAATTTAGCACAGAAACAGTCAAATCTGAAGACATCTTTTAACTGTGTTAGGATATTTGCTGCAAGGAACTATAGATAAGTACATTGGGTATAACCTTCTCTATGTAAACCTGGCTCTCTAACAATGAAAGTGATGATTGCATGACAAAATCTCAAAAAACAAACAAAAGGAAAACTAAGTTTGAAACTAAAAAGGGTGGGTTTCGCTGCACTTTCAGATTCTTCTCACAACAGTATATTTGTATTTTCCAGATAGATGAAATGCAACGGAGGCATTGACCCTCAAATTACATGATGAGGGAGAGAGCTAGAATATATCACTACAGGAGGTTTCTGGAATTAGCAAGAACATGGAGGTCTCAAAAGAGAATGGGATCTGGAGGTCAGTTTTCTGCAACATAAGTAGTTAGTGGAAATAGGCAAGGAAAGTTGATGGACAAGAAGAATTGACAAACCACACGGCTTCAGTATTTGTAAAATAATTACAAGTGCACTCAGGCCAACCAGACTCACCTATTTATCAAAACACGAAGGGCTGTAAACAAATCCAAAGACAGCATATGGTCCACTAGCAGCATTTAAAGCCTGCCAAAATTAATATGGTGGCATTAATTGTACCACATGTCTAAAATCTCTCATATTTCTGTACGGGCAGTGGAGTATGTTAAGTGCTTCTCCATTCAAATGGGAATAGGTGATCATAATTCACTTATCTGGGGATAGGAGTTTAGGGAAAAAAATGCAAAGCAGATTTTAAGAAGTTTACATTAGTGCAAATGACAAATCCAAAAATTGGCTATTAAATTTTATAACTATTCGGTAAGAGTAGACTTTATGAGGAATTAAATTTACTTCATTTAGAAAATAGGATAGACAACCACCTTGCAATTTAGAAAGTTAAAACATATAATCTGTACAAAGCAATTATTCACCAAATCAAAACAGGCATTTAATATTTTACAGCAAAACAAATATAAACCTAGTGAGCAAAAGCCCAGAAATATATTATGAAAACTAGTTATCAGTACAAAACGTAGAGATGTACATGGCCTGCATTCTCTCCCACACTTTAAACATGTGTACAGAATTTATCGTCAGTTCATGATTATTCATGGAATGCTATGTATTGAGTTTTCAATGTTCTTCCACTTTGTGCGAACTCCATATTATGGCCTGCCAATATCCATTCTCAATGAAGATGACAATACTCAGTTTCTCCTCCCCTTATTGGAGTATGCTGAAACTCCACTCAGCAACTCCCATAAAAGACCTTTTGAAATCAGCAACAACCTAAGTAAAATTCAATCTCCATTTCTCACTCATGTAACAGTACATTATTTTTTTTAAAAATCAGTCAGTGCATGCCACTCAATGATAATTTCTCTTCACTCCATGATGTTCAAGTGAAAAATAAGCTACACTTTCAACTAATGTACTATATTGACCAATAGATGGCACACACTCTCAGCAATTGCATCCCTAAGTATTGTCCCAGGAGTCTAGCAGCAAATAGATATACTGATTGTAAAGGGTAAGCTGACTCTACTTAAGACAAATGAAGTTTGAATATTTTCAGAAGTGAGAACCAATAAACTGAAGTTCCCAGCGTTTAAATCCAGAGGCTTATGACTGAAATAGTTAACCTTTTCTAGATTCATGGTCATCAACTCAGGATAACATCTTCCTGCAAGGGGAATGTTCCTCAAAAAAAGAGATCGCCACCTCATCCTGGCAAAAACCAGCAACCAAGGTTACACTTATCCTATGCCTCTTCTTCCACATGACAAAATTTAAATTATTTATCAAAAACACAAGACACACTAAAGATACAACCACACTTTCAACTGAAAAAAAAAGTTTAAATAATATAATTTGAACAAGATTTCTCATAGAACTAGAACCAACTGTATAACTTATTAGGTTTTACTCTTTAGCTTTCCTTCAGTTCTCTTCCTTCCAGAAAAAACTAAGAAAACAGAAAACACAGTAACCTATTTTCCAGCACTTGGCCCATAGCCTTGCATGTTATGGCATATCAAACGGTAATCCACATACTTTTAAAAAGGTTTGAGGTTTCCCACCTCAACTATCCCCCAAGTCAGCGCATTCCAGATTCACACCATCCTCTGCATGAAAGAAGTTTGTCAAATTTCCTCTAAACTTCCCACTGTTTGCCTTAAAATTATACTCTTTTGTTACTACCCTTAATGTAAGTGGAACAGCTACTTCCTATCCACAGGCACCACAGCAAGCCAGGCAGTAGAGGACCAGGAAAGAAGGGTCCCGAATCGAAACATCAACTTTCCTACTCCTCTGATGCTGCCTAACCTGTGCTCCTCCAGCTCCACACTGTGTTGTCGCTGACTCCAGCATCTGCAGTTCTTGCTATCTGTTTCCTATCCACGCTGTCCATGTGTCTCAATCTTGTACATCTCATGGCATGTCCCCTCTCAGCCTTCTTTGCTCTAAAGAAAACAACGCAAGCCTATACTGCCTTTTCATAGTTAAAACGTTCAACCCAGGGGTATCGCCTCTGCATTCCCAAATACATCATTTTATGTTACCAGAACTGCACACAGTACTCCAGCTGTGGCCTCACCCAAGTTTTATACAGCTCCAACCTCCTTACTCTTCTCATCTATACCACGACTGATAAAGACAAGTGCCTGAATGCCTTAACTACCCTATTAACTTGCCTTGCCATCTTCAGGGAACTAGAGACAAGCACCCCAAGATCCCTTTGTTTCTAAGCTTCCGAGTGTCCTGCCATTCATTGAGTATTCCCTTGTCTTGTTCGTTTTCCTAAAGTGCATCACCTCACACTTCTCATGATTAAATTCCAACTGCCTCACCATCTATATCTTACCGTAATCTAATATCTTCCTCCTCACCATTAATCACCCAGCTAATCTTCGTCATCCACCAACTTATCATTCCTCCCCACATTCTCATCTAGACAGTTTACATAACGACCAACAATAAGGGACCCAGCACAGATCTGTGTACTACATCATTGGATACCAGCCCCAGTCATATAGTCTTCTGCCTCCACCATCTGTCTCCTATCATTAGGCTAATTTTGGACCAACTTGCCAAGTTACCATGGACCCCAGGTGGTTTTACCTTCCTTTATCTGTCTCCCATATGACAGCTTGACAAAGGGTTTGCTGAAACCCAAATAAATGACATCAGCAGCACTACCCTCATGTACACACCCAATCACCTCCTCGAAAAATTCTGTTGAATGTTAGCCATGACATCCTTCTGACAATGCTCTGTTGACTATCCCTGATCAACCCCTACTTCTCTAAATGGAGCTTAAATTTTCTCCTTCTCTATTTTCTCCAATAGTTTTCTTACCACTAATATTAAACTCACTGGTTTATCTCTACCACCCTTCTTGTAAAATGGAACCACATTAGCTATCCTCCAGTCCTCTGGCACCTCCCTTAAGAACAGGGAGGCATTAAAAACTTGGGTCAGAGTCACTATACATTCCTCTCTCATCTCCCACAGCAGCCCCTGGAACTGGACCTGGACCTGGACCTGGACCTGGGGATTTGACCACGATGAACATCCTGGGGGTTACATTGACCAGATGAACAGGTTAGCCATATAACACTGTGGCTACAAGAGAAAGTCAGGGGCTAGGAATACTGCAGTGAATAACTTACCTCCTGACTTCTCAAATCCTGTCCACCATCTACAAGGCTTCACTGTTGCTGGGTTCGAAATCCTGGCATCCTTGCCCCACTGGCATTGTGGGTGGACCTACAGCACAAGGACTGCAACAGTTCAAGGCAGCTCACCACTACCTCAAGGTCAGCTTGGGATGGGCAATAAATGCTGGCCAAACAGCAACATCCGTGACTCATGAGGGAATTTAAAAAAAAAAGCCTGCCAAAACCTCCAAAACCTCCTCAGTGCCTAGTGCTTTTGTTTAAAATAATTATAGAAGTATTATTAAAACAAAAACACATCCAACTTTGCCTGCATAGAAATAGGAGTCTTATGTACTTACATTTTTAAACATAATACTCCATTTAAACTGCATCCTCTCCACAACCACTCCAAGCTACAGGTTAGGAACCCAATTAATTCAACCAGACAGACAGACAGAGACACACACACACACACATACAGAGCTTCTGGAGCCTGAATTGCAAAAACAAAAGCAAAATCCAATTCATAATGGAGTAATGTGTTTGTTATTGGGCTAAATTAATCTATCACACTCATTGTTTACAAGATGCAGTTGAATTACAGACAAATTGAAACCAACTCAAATAGTTGCTGGAACTTTACCTTGTATTTCATTATAGATAATATTTTTACACAATAAATCATTGTGGCACAGCACTACTGGGGAGCCAAGGCTAGACAGGTGTTCCCTCATCCACGCCAATTCCTGTTCAAGCTCATGAAGACGAGGGACTTGCATCATGAACCTGCAAGAATTGGCAAGAGTGTAAAAGAAAGTCAGGAACATTCTCATTTTTCAATCAAAACAAAAAACTGCAGATGAAGAAGATCTGAAACAAAAGTAGTTTACAGTTTATATTTCACATGGACCAAATGAGACAATATTATCCTAGATCTTGCTATTATTGGAACATACTTCATTCATTCCAGTGATGATAATATGTACCATGTAAGCTCTTCCTTCTATCAATGCAAGTATACAAAATCTAAAGTACAATAATGAATCATTTTGCCCATCTATTCTATGCTGGTGTTTAGACTGTATATTTCCCTTCATCCTATGTGTCTCTTCACACTCTGCCCATGCACTTCTCCAATTTGGTCCCTCAAACCTGTAACAGGTTTTTCCTCAAGTACTTTAAATTCTATGTGCATCAACAACACGGCTGGCAGCCCGTCCTGCATTCTCAAACACTGCATAGAAGTATTAAGAGAAATTTCTTAACGATTGGCTATTTGCTATCTTATTTACGTACCACAGTACCAGACTTTCCCACAAGCAGAATATTTCTCCACAGTGATCTTCAGTGAAGTCCTTTACAATTTTAAGACACGATTCTCAGTCTGCTCATTCCAACATGATAGTTGCATCTTAACATAACTTGGCATAAACAGTAGAGAAGCAGGCATATGGCTCAACAAGTTCATGCTATTAACACTCCATGAACTTCCTTCCACTATCAGTATATAATACTGTTCTGTTCTCATGTTTATCTAGCTCCCTATCTCTGATCACATCAAGGAGATAGCTTGGGAATATGAATTTGAAGTGAATGATTAGCTATGATCTAGAATGGTGGAATAGACTGGAGGGGCTGAATGACCTACTCCCACTCCTATGTTCTCTTTAAATGAATTTATGCTATTCACCCCAACTATTTGTGGCAGCAACTTTCACGAAGTACTATCCTCTTAATTTTATTTGCACACTCTTACCAAGGTTCTATATATAACTATTGTAGCCTTATTTTATGATTCAAGAACATCACACCAATACTTAGCACATTTTGACTCATCAATTTGTATCTCTACTTTTAACAATGTATCTGTATTCCATTCTCTTTGAAATCTAAAGCACAAATATTAACGGAGTTTTAACTTATCATGCAAGGTCAGTGGAAGTCAACTTAAAATCTTCCATGTTCAATAATTTTAAAACACTAATAACGCAACATGAACCCTAATCACAGTTCAGCAAGGTATAAGATGCATATGGTAGATTTGCTTCCAATGTCTTCTTTCCTAGTAGGGATCTACAGGGCCAGCCTGATCTAATACAGTAGAAAACAGCCTGACAATCTAACAGGAAGTGGCTGCCTTAAACAAAGGTGTCATGAAATACATTATTTTATCCATTTTTTGTACCGAGCAAGCCAGCCAATCCACGGCTAGCAACAGTTACAGAACAGATAGTTCCAAGAGTTGCAAAGTGGCAACATTCAATTTTGACAAGACAGTGCAGATATCACTGAAAAGGAGTATAAAGGATAAAGCTGGAAAAAGAAACCAGTGTAGACTGCATGTTGGAGTGCCTTTTTTTTTTCTAAACTGTACTGGTGGGAATGGCAACTGAACTAGAGGTTCCAGACAAAAGTGCCAGTGAGAAATCAAAAGTAGCTGAATGGCTGTGCTGCAGAACACCAAGTTATTCTAGGAATTAGTAGGCAGTTAGGTATTGAAGTCAATGACATCCTTGGAACTGAAGGAGGTGGGGGGAGGGGCAGTGTTGGTGTTGGAAAGAGGCCAGAGCACAACCAGTTTGGTACAACTGAATGTTTCATGAATGCAACTACATTTAAGACTCAAAAATCCAGCACTGTATTAGTATTGGCTTGGTTAATCAAACAAGTTAAAGATAATATCAAATTGGAAGAAAAATATACAATGTAGCAAAATTAATCATAATCCAACAGATTGGGCAAATTTTAAAAGTCAAAAGATGACCAAATAAGAGGGAGAAAATTAACTATAACTAGCATGGAATATAAAGAGACAATAGAAGTTTATTTAAATTTAACAGAAGAAATAGACAGGCCAAAGTGAGTACAAGTCCCCTTAGAAAATGAGGCCCAGTAAATAAAGGGGAACCAGGAAATGGCACAGGAGTTGAATAGATACTTTGCATAAGTCTTCATGGTAGAGGACACAAATAGCATTACATAAAAATTAAAAACTCAAGGGGCTAAAGGATGGATAGGGTAATAAATAACTGTCATTAGTTTCAGTTGTACTTTTTCTCCAACGAGATTAAAGGCCAGTAAATTTGCCAAATTAAAATGCTAGGGTGCAACTCATCTAAAGGAAGTAGCTAGAGGTAGTAGTTGCACTCATAGTAACCTTCCAAAAACCCTTATTCAATACAGGGAGACAACCAATTACAGGTAACTATAGGTCAGTTAGCTTCGTATCAATCATTGATAAAATGTCATCACCTCTACTTTAAACGGATGTAGTAGTGGAGCATTTAGAAATACAAAATACGAAGAGAAAACATTGCTTCATGAAAGGTAAATCATGACCTCATTTGCAGGAATTTAGGATGTAACAGGCATGATTGATAAATTAGAATCAGTAGTTATAATATATTTAGAGCTCCGTAAGGCATTCCATCAGATAGAATACATAATGTCTCGAAGTTGGGTAGAGCACATGCGAATTGGAAGACAGGAAGTTAGAATTTGATGTTTGTAAAATGTTCAGGCAGAAAGCAATGCGTGGTCCCTTTAAAAGATGATGTGCTTTTTCTATTCTTAGAGATATCTGTGAGCAGCAGCTTGAAAGTTTGCAAGTACACAAACAGCACCCAAATTGAAACATTTGTATCAAAAGGTTGTACAGTTAGCAGGCCAGGCGGCAATTTTTAACCAGGACAAGTTTTGAATTTAGCCAATCAATTTGAACCAGGCACTTAGATACCAAAAACCAAATTAAATTTAAATCTGATGGTTTTGACAACATACGACCAATCCCATCCTAAGAAATACTGACATGTCATCAAGGGTATAAAAGAAGGGGGCAGCTGGACAAAGACAGAGCTAATAGCCCTCAGCTCTCAAGAGAGAATAACTGGCTCTTATGGCGTCCTCTATGCCTTAGAAGAAGCACCATCTAAATAACAACGGTTCCAATGACACAGTTAGTTAATATTCCTGACAGAGGAATCGATGGAGAAAGCACAGAACATTCCGAAAGACGTAACCTGGCTGTAATTCTGAAAGACTAAATTTTTTTTTTATATACAAGTGGGTCTTGTATTTATTGGAACAGCATATCATTAGAATCTTGCCGTATTCGGCAATCGTTAGTAGTTAGAAGGAATTTATCCTGTTTGTTAATAGCTTAGTTAATTTGTTCACAGTTAGAGTTCGACAAATAAAACGGTTACTTGTTCATTGTAAAGTGAGTGCCAGGGATTTATTTTATTTGACCGCTAGAAGTTGCTGAAAGTCAGGTTACACCACTTTTCACACTCCTTTTACAGATTATAGAACGAGGTGCTCCTCTTTGGGTGTTTCGGTGTTAGTTCTCGGTGGGGGTGGAACGATCGATGTCCACTTTATGACAAGTAGGCTACTTACAAAGATAAATGCACATATTTTTGAGGATTGTATATTAGCATGAAAAGAGAATTGATTAACAAATAGAACACAGAATTGGGATAAAAGAGGCATTTTCAGGATAGCCACCTGTAACCAGTGGAGTACCACAGGAATTGATGCTGGAACCACAATTATTTGCAATATGTTAATGACTTGGATGAGGACAGTCAACGTACTTTGTGAAGTTTGCAGTGGACACAAAAACAGGAATGAAGGCAAGTGGTCAGGATGTCAGAGCTGAAGTAGAGATACAGACAGGTTAAGTGAGTGGGCAGAAAATTAGCAGATGGTTATAACAAGAGATTATGCATTTTGGCAAGAAGATTAGAAGAGGTAAATATTACTTAAATGCAGAAAGACTGCAATAAATAAAAAAACTGCAGTGGTATTTGGACAGCCCCATGCATGAATCACAAAATGCTAGCATCCAAATTCAATACGTAATATTGAAGGCATTTGGACTGATGGCCTTTATTTCAAAGGAAATGGAGTACAAAACCGAGGTTTTGCTACAATAATATTAATTAGATTACATCCGGAATATTGAGAGCAGCTTGGGTAACTTTATGTACAGGCAGTCTAGGAGGTTTCACCCAGTGATTTTGGGTATGGAGAGGCTGAGTAGGCTGGTCTTTTACTTATTGGAGTTTAGAAGAGAGGGCCTCATTGAAACAGACAAGATTCTTAAGGGGCTCAACAGTGTGGATGAGGAGAGGTCGTTTCCTTCTCGAAGAGTCTAGGACCAGATAGGATAATTATAAAGTAAGGGGTTGTCCATTTCTGTCTTAAATGAGGCGTAATTTGTTGTCTCAGGGTAGTGAATCTATCCAACTTCTTTTACTCGAGGGCTTAAGTATATTCAACGCTGAGTTAGCAGATTTTTATTCAGGAAGCAAATCAAAGGTTATTAAGATAAGACAGGAAAGTAGAGTTGAGGATTTTCAGCTCAGCTATAATCTCACTGAAACTGATGCAGATTCCATGGGCTGCATGGCCTACTTCTGCTTCCCTTTATGGTCTTAAAATTTCTGACCTTCTGTTTTTTGATTCATCCACTGATTTCACCTGGAACATGCCAAATAAATAAAATAGCAAAAACACTGCACTCTACACATGCTATTTTTGATTTCCAAATGCAATACTTTGCACATTTGCATTAAATTACAGCTGTCATCCACCCCATATATTGTAATTTGAACTTTCTCCAATTCCACCACTTCGGCTCATCTGGTAACTGATGCAATGTTGACCATTTTGCATTGAATTTTTGAATACAACGTAATTTATGAAAATTAAAACTGCAGTCGTCCCAAGACTATGCCCATGGGGCACAACTCCAGACCATCCATCACCCTAAGCTATTCTAATGTACATCAGTGTTATCTCATTTGCCACATACATAGTTACAATTTGCTCATGGAAGACACCTCCTGAAAAATACAAAAATGATGTAACTACATAGTGCAGTCAGGTCAAAATACAGATTTTCAATGAATAAATCGTACCTTGCATGCAAACATTCATCTGCAAATTCGGTGGTAACAAGACTGAAGTATTTTTCCAGCTTTGACCATAGATTTGGCTTGGGAATCCAGCCATTATGTGCATGAATCGAATGAATCTTTGCTAGTTGTCTGGTTATAAGCCTGAGCAGCAGAAAATGAAGTGACACTTTAAATGGAATCGAATTAGACCGGCAGTAATGTTACACTACACTGCAATTGAAAAACACTCACTCACTGTTGACATTGCTATTTATCTTTAGAAGTCGTATCTTCAACAACATTAAAAAACTCATGTCTCTTCTGATTTAACTGTCAAAAGGCACAGAAAAGAACTGAGGACCAGAACAAACTGCCACCATTTGAAGGGGTAATTCACTGTAGCATTTTATGAAGTACAATACTGAAATACATCTGGATCGCTCCTTGGACACAGGGCCTGTAGCCAAAGTCCCACCACATTCTTTGAAAAGCAAAATGTGAGACTGGATGACTTTGTTATATTTTATAATCACCAATTCCCAACATGAAAATTGCAGAATAGTACCATACTACTTAGTTTTCATTTTTCAGGCGTTTATGGGACATTTAACAATTTAAACAGCAGAATGACCCATTAACAGCAACAATATTTAATGGTATTTTAAAAAGTGAGTTGTTGCACTTCTATTTAGACTAGGGCTCACTTAAATGTTCGAACAGGATATTTTTTCTTCTACTCGAGTTAAAGGTAGTCATTCTTTATACTAAACCTTCAACACACTCTTTAGTCATTTAGTTACTAATTTGAATTGTGTAATCAGAAAAATAAATCTGCAGGTCTTCAGCCAGTCTCCAATTTGCAATTTGAAAAGTCTCCAGTAGGATCAAAGATGCAAAGGCATGTATACCAGTAAAAAATGCACTGCATCGGAATTTCCATTTAAGGAAACATTTCATGGAATCATAGAATTCCTACAGTGGGGAAATAGGTCATTCGGCCCAATAAGTCCACACAGACCCTCCGAAGAGCATCCTACCAGACCCAACCCTATCCCTGTAACCCTGTATTTCCCCTAGCTAACTCACCTAACCTACACATCCCTGGACACTACTGGCAATTTAGCATGGCCAATTCATCTAACCCGCATATCTTTGGACTGTGGGAGGAAACCAGAGCACCCAGAGGAAATCCAAACAGATGCAGAGGGAATATGCAAACTCCACACAGGACAGTCACCCAAGGCTGGAATGAAACCCGGGTCCTTGATGCTGAGGCAGCAGAGCTAACCACTGAGCTCAAAATATAAACTGGATGGGACTAAACCTGTTAGAGTTAAATAATTATTCACTTCTAGACCGAGGCACAATTTAATGCTCAGCCTGTAAAATGCATTACAAAGTACCGAGTCAGAATTTAACAACAAGTTGAGATGCATGACTCCCCTAATAATAACAAAAATAGAAAATAAATGACTGATGCTAGGTAGAAAAATCATGCAATAGGCTCACAAAAGACTATTTCACTAAGTTTAATTCTGGCCTTTACTAAATCAACAACTGTCCTTTAAATGAAATTGTGCTGGTGCCACAACGATGTGCTCACGTTAAACCACAAACAGTGTGAAAAACAAAAACTATGATTTTCTATTTTTTTGAATATTTATGAAATCTAGAAGAGGAGGAAAGAAGTACCTGAAAATGGATGGATTCCTGACATGTTTTGGATCCAATGCAACGCCTTCCATAAATTTATAACACAGCCCATTCTGAAAGGTGCAGTACAGCTGTGGCGCACAGCCATGAGCATGCAGGACGTGAAAGCTCTTCACTTCATTTTCGCGATCAACAAACAACTCGGTCTTGTTGCCATACACCCTCACCAAAACAACATCGTCTAATGAATCACCAACATAACAAGCAACAAGTTTGTTTGTAATACCATCTGTGAACACCTGTTGAATCAAAATAAAAAAACTGAATCAATAAAACACCTTAATCATATCAACTGGGCAAATGATTGCATAAAGCAAGTTGCTATTCTATCAATATCTTACATTCAGATCATACTCTAGTAGCATCGCTGTTAAAGATGGAGACAAACACAATCAATCATGCACTATTCTAAAGTATCAAGGCTTCAGAAAGATCACCAACATTTACTGATGTTCATACAGGCAGCCCCTGGTTGAGAACGGGGTTCTATTCTTGAGTCTGCACACAGTTTGAGCACAACCAAGTTGTGGTTCATAAGGAAACGCCCGTCGGGTTTTTAAAGTTACACCCTTATGGGATTACAATCATATGTATGAACGCACATAAGGAGGGCATTCGTAAATCAGGAAACCCTTGTATTAAGATGGTAGGCACACAGATTTCAAACGCTGCGAAATTTTTCATAAAAATACCAAAGGAATATGGATACTGGAAATCAGAAACAAATTAGAATTTATTAGAAAATCTCAGGTCTGACAGCATCTGTGGACAGAAAGTAGAGTTAATGCTTCGGGTCCAGCTACTGGACCCAAAACATTAACTCTGCTTTCTCTCCACAAATGTTGCTAAAACTGTTGAGATTGTCCATCAATTTCTGTTCATGATTATGAAATCCTTAGTTGGAAACCTGGCACTTATCCAAGTCAAGAAATCTCAAAATATAAATTTCATATTTTGCATGCAACTGATGGCACTGTTTATCTTTAACAAAATGACATTAGAATGAATATCAAGACTAGGAAGGAGAAATTAAATTACTTGACTTCTCCTACACTCAATACAAAGTCTAATCTGCTTTACCAACTACTATCTATTCCTATCAATACAAATTCTGAATAATTTGTGGCATAAAATAACTAAATACAGCAAGACAGTGAATCAAATATTTTGCTATTGCATAGCCATCTCCTACACAAATCAACCTAGCAGACATATTGATAGGATCCAAGTAGGTTTGGATGGCCTTTCAGATAGATCTCCATTGCCAAATCTATTTATTCAGAAAATCAGCAGATATCTTCTGCTGTAACATGACTGTCAATATAACAAACAAATCTATAACCAAGTTACCATACAATGATTTTTCTTAGTCCTGCTGGATCTTCTCATTGAGAAAACAATTTGGATATAGCCTAGTTAAAATGGTGAAACCATGCACGAGCACTTCAAAAAGAGTTAGACAAAATATGACTACGTAAGCCCACTTAAGTGTACGCTATGTCAAAAGCCCCAAAGCTTGGTTTTAGGTGCACCTGAAAGGAAGGAGGGTACAAAGGAGGAGTGGTTAAAATCAGGGTGCCTGGACAAACAGTCAAGGTGACAATGATAGTTTAGAAATGGGAAGATAAACCATTGCTTGAACTTCCATGGTGCACTGGACATATAAAAATGGGACCAAACAAAGGCAGTGTAAAACAAATTGGACATGTACAAGAGAGACTGATGTTATGGCTGATCATTGCTACTGCATGGATGATGAGGGGGGAAAACAGGACAATCAATCGCAGGATAACATCTGTAACTTCAATTAGGATTACTGAATGCCACTTCCAGGATCAGAGATTCCTGATTCTGAAGCAAAATACTGTAGAAGTTGGAAACCTGAATGTGAAAAGGACATTGCTGGAACTATATAACAGGTCAGAAAGGAAAATATTGGAAATACATAGCAGGTCAGGCAGCACCTGTGGAAACAGAAATAGTTAACATTTCAGGTCAATGACCTTTCATTAGAACTGCTTGTCTTTCACATTCTGAGATATGAGATTCAAATTTGGAAATGCATGCACAAGCAGAAATGTCAGAAAGTGAGAACCCAACGAAGGGCATGAGAGGAAAGGGAGGCACAGCATAAGATGTAATAAAGGTTAGCTAACATGGTGCCACCATTTAAGAAAGGTGGTTAGGGAAAGCCAGTGAACTACAGATCGGTGAGCCTGACCTCAGTGGTGGACAGGTTGTTGGAGGGGATCCTGAGAAACAGGATTTACATGTATTTAGAAAGGCAAAGTCTGATTAGGGATAGTCAACATGGCTGTGTGTGTGGGAAATCACGTCTCACTAACTTGGTTGAGTTTTCTGAAGAAGTTACAAAGAGGATTGATGAAGGCAGAGTGGTGAATGTTATTTATATGGACTTCAGTAAGGCATTGGACAACGTTCCTCATGGTAGACTGGTTAGCAAGATTAGATCACAAGTAATACAGGGAGAACTAGCCATCTGGATACAGAACTGACTCAAATGCAGGAGAGAGGGGGCAGTGGTGGAGATTTGCTTTTCAGACTGGAGGCCTGTGACCAGCAGTGTGCTGAAAGGATCAATGCTGGGTCCACTGCTTTTTGTCATTTATATAAATGATTTGGATGTGAATACAGCAGGTATGCTCAGTAGGTTTGCAGATGACACCAAAATTGGTGGTGTCGTGGACAGCCAAGGATACCTCATAGTTCAACAAGACCTTGATCAGATGGGCCAATGGGCTGAGGAGTGGCAGATGGAGTTTAATTTAGATAAATGTGAAGGGCTGCATGTTGGAAAGGCAAAACAGGGCAGGACTTATATACTTAATGGTAAGGTCTCGGGGAGTGTCACTGAACAAAGGGACCTTTGAGTGCAGGTTCCTGCAAAGTGGAGTCGCAGGTAGAATGGGTAGTGAAAAAGGTGTTTGGTATTCCTGCCTTTATTGGTCAGTGCATTGAGTGTAGGAGTTGGGAGATCATATTGAGGCTGTACAGGACATTGGTTAGGCCATTGTTAGAATACTGCGTTCAAGTCCGGTCTCCCTGCTTTAGGAAGAATGTTGTGAAACTTTAAAGGGTTCAGAAAAGATTTACAAGGATGTTGCCAGGGTTGGAAGGTTTGAGCTATAGGGAGAGGCCGAATAGGCTGGGGCCATTTTCCCCAGTGTGTTGGAGGCTGAGGGGTGGCCTTATAGGAGTTTATAAAATCATGAGGGGGCATAAACAGGATGAATAGCCATGGTCTTTTCCCCAGGGTAGTACAGTGCAAAACTAGTGGGCATAGGTTTAAGGCGAGAGGGGAAAGTTTTAAAAGGAACCTAAGGGGCAACCTTTTCTATGCAGAGGATGGTGCATGCATAGAATTAGCTGCTACAGGAAGTGGCGGAGGCTGGTACAATTACTACATTTAAAAAGCATCTGGATGGGTACATGACTAGGAAGGGGTCGGAAAGATACGAGCTCAATGTTGGCAAATAGGACCAAATTAATTTAGGATATCTGGTCGGCACGGACGAGTCGGACCGAAAGGTCTGTTTCCATGCTGTACAGATCTACGACTCTATCCACACCACTTGACAACGCCTCCTGTAGTGCAGATCCCGTGCCAGGGACACATTTCCCAAATGGCAACTGTGTGCCCCGTCCTCCCCTGCCCCCTCAATACCTCCTCCCTCCCCATCCACAGCCCACTCCCTCTCTTCCCATCAGTACCCTACTCCTCACCAGGGCCTAACCCTTCTAGCACTGTTGCTGGTGGCCTGATAATCTTCTAGAAAGAACAGATGAGGGGAGGGGGCACGGATAAACAAAGTGACAGAACACCTCATCACCGTCAGCCTAGTCGGGCCCTGCCAATAACGGCGCAGATTCAAGGCCCTGGCGACAGAGACACACCCTCCCCCAGCCTTACACTTACCTTCAGTCTGACCTGAGCCGGGTCCCATCGCGGCCTCAGTTCTTTCATGAGCCGCAAAGAGCCAGTTGCCATGTCCTGTTGATCCACGGTGATGTGAAGCCTAGGGACAGCGGGCGCCGCAAGAGGGACATGGATGTAACTGGCCATGGCGTCACCGGCTTCTCGTTGCTGGAACCTTCCAGGGAGCCGCGCATGCGCCGACCCGGCACGTTCCCAGCAGCGTCATGACATCAGCCACCGCGTCCGTCCCCAACCACGTGACGGTATGCGGAAGCAGGCGGGGCTTAGACAGACTCATCCACAAATCACATTGGTCCTTACATTCTTTAACTGATAGCTCAATGTTTAATACTGCCGCCTCACAACACCAAGGACCCGGGTTTGATTCCATCTTCGGGTAACTATCTGTGTGGAGGTTGCACACTCTCCCCTTGCTCTTCCCACAGTCCAAAGATTTGCAGGTTAGGTGGTTTAGCCATGGTGAATTGTCCATAGTGTTCAGTGAGATGTAGTTTAGCTGCATTGGTTATGGGAAATATAGTATGGGTCTGTTTGGACTTGTTGGGCCAAATGGCCTGTCCCCACGCTGTGGGGATTCTGAGAGTGAAACGTCCCAGGGGACTTCACTGAGCAATCAAAATGATGACACTGAGCGACAAAGCAGATCGTAGAAAGAGGTAGTCTTTGAGAAATGTATTCAGTGAGAGGTTTCTTGTGGCACATTGTTACACAAAATACTGTGCTGCAGGTCATCTGAAATAACAGAAAACGTCTTTGTGCTCAAGGCCTAAATCCACAAAGGTAAGAGTACTACTAATTGATTCACAGCCAATAATGGCTGAATAGCGTTGACTAGACTTCCAAATATAGATATAAAACCCCTGGAATCTTGTAAAACAAAACTATGACATGTCATAAGAAGGGCTTGTTATAAATTTCTAGATAGATAAACCAAGATAAACTAAGATGACAACAAGGTGTAGAGCTGGATGAACACAGCAGGCCAAGCAGCATCATAGGAGCAGGAAGGCTGACGTTTTGGGCCTAGATCCTTCATCAGAAATGGGGGAGGGGGTTCTGAAATAAATAGGGAGGG